GGCCCCCTCCCCGCTGCCCCCGCCCCCTCCGCGCGCATCGAGTGGCGGGGCCGCGTGGCTGAGAGCGTGAGGCGGGTAGCCATTACGGGCCTGGGACGGGGCACGTCGCCACCGCCTGCCTGAGGGGGAGTGCTTAGGGGGTTTGGGACTGGAGGGGGTTTTCCCTCCCCCGGATGCTAAATTTGTAAAACACAGTCGTTGATTATTTAAATCTCGGGGGCGGGAAGTGCACGGGCTCAGGGCCTGGGTGCCTCTTTGCCCGCTGCTGCCGGGATGGGTTACCTGAAGCTGCTGGTGGTGAAGGACTTCAAGTCGTGGCGGGGGCAGCAGCTCATTGGCCCCTTCATGAGGTTCAGCTGCATCATCGGGCCCAATGGATCAGGTAGCAGGCTGGGGGGGCTGGGGAGAGGGACCTTCAGGCAGCTGGTGGTCCTGCTTCCTCAGTCAGGCTTGAGGTTTCCATGTTGGGGTCTTTGCTAGGTCTTTTCTGGGCCTGGAAGGGAGGAGGGAGCCGCTGAAGAGGGCACGGGGTTGGCGTTGCCCTGCATGGGTGAGGGTGGTGATAGCTTGCCTGTTGAGGTGTAGAGTTACCTGGCTTTGGAGGCTCCTCATCTGCCGTTGCTGCTTTAACTGCAAGTAAAGAGTTTTCCAGCATGGAAGGACAGAGGCAAGGTGGTTGAAGGAATTGACGTTTCTGGTTGTCTCCTCTGTTCTCTCCAGCTGTTGTAGAACAAGGGGTTTGCCAACAGCACGCCTTGCCTTTGCTGCTCCAGTTTGTAGTTCAGCTTTACTAAGGTCCCATGAAGATGACTTCACTGTAATACTCTGTGTTGTAAACTGTAGTAACAAAAAGCTACTTGATTTGAGTTGGTGGTATCTGCCACATGAGCAAATGCCTCTAGAAAAGAGTAGCTTTGTGGGATGGTCACTGGGTTGTAATTTAGTCCACGAGAGCCTTCATTTGTAGGTGTGACTCCACATTGTTATGCTGTAGGTGCTGGAACTTTTAAAATTTATTCACTTCGTCTGAAAGTTCCATTCACCAAATGGGATTTTATCTTTTATTTGCCATAGAAGAATATGATAGGAGGTGAGGGCTGTCCTAACAAAGAGCCCCAAGGATGGGCTTGGCATTTGGTCTTCATTTTCCCCCTCTGTTCATGATGTAGTTCATGATTGGGATTTTTAGATCCTGTTGTTTCTTTGCTTATCTAATTGAAGGGAGATCTGTGAATGTAAGTTAATTACTTAGCATTATTCTCCTATTCTTTATCATCCTGTCCCCACTGTTCTGTATTGGAAAGACTGAAAATTATGGATAGTTTTTTCAGGTACATTTCCAGTTAAATCTGAATACGCTTTATAGATTAATTCAAGGAGAAAAAAATATTAATCTTGTGTAATGTCTGAATTGAGTTTTTTAGTCATCTGTTTTCCCCCTGGTATTCTTCTTTATCTGATACTTTGGAGAGTAAGTCCAAATTTTGCCAAAGTAGCAAGGCAGAAAGAATTGAGCTGTCAACAGAAATGCTCAATGCTAAAGGGGAAAAGTGAAAAGAGGATTCAATGAAGAGAATTTTTGTTGAGGGAGTATGATCAGAGAACTTTATTGCTGTGGTGAATGGATCTGGGAAAAGGCTTGTGTTCTTTACAACACTGGGTTTCTAGTTATATGATAGAGTGCTTAGGCAGCAAACCTCACTGACTGCATTATATAAAGGAAACTACTAAGTAAGGATTATGATGTTGCTCGCTCAGTTTAAGTAATGACCTCTAGATATGCCTGTGTTTAAAAAAATAAATAATAAAAAAATTTAAACTCTGTTCAACAAGACAAACAACTAACAAGTCAGTTTTGTGATGATTTTTATTACAGGCAGACTTCTTATCTGCTGCCAGTGTGTTACATTGTAGAAACAGATTTCTTTATTATTATGTGCAATATTTTTTCCTTAATGGAATACAGAATTAGAAATAGAATTAATAAAGACTTCTGCATTTACGTGTATGTTTTTTAGTTAATTGTTAATCAAATGCCTACTTTCATTTCTGCCATGCCAAAGCAATTCTTTAAATTTATTTTTTTTTTTATTTAAGGAAAATCTAACATAATGGATGCTGTTAGTTTTGTGATGTGTGAAAAGATAGCTAATTTGCGAGTTAAAAGCGTTAAAGAACTGATTCATGGAGCGCATGTTGGAAAGCCGGTTTCTTCTACAGCTAGTGTGAAGATAGTGTATTGTGAAGAAAATGGTGAAGAAAAAACATTTGCAAGAGTTATCCGTGGTAGGTACTAGATTCTGTTGCAAGTACTTTCTCTTGTCTGATATACAGCAATGGAGACCAAAAATATTCAGCTTTGAATTTCAGGTGCATAATATTCCTTTGTATTTGGGTGGATTAAGCTAATGAGTATTGCAATACTCCTTATATTCCTTCAGTACACTTTGACAGCCAAGTGTTATAATTGAAAAAATGTACCGGGCCAAGTTAAAAATTAAAGAAGTGCTTAATAAACGTTCTTTGCTTCATATTTTGATCCGTAGATTTTTCACTTGGAAGATGTAGCTGGTGTAGGCTCTAGAAAACAGGGTCTGGGACCTTGCTGGAGGCACAAGCACTTTAGCAGCTGTCAATACCTTTTGGAAGTCTGCAACTGGAACTTTCACACAGAAAAATGAAATGAATGAAATGACTAAGGGAATAATTGAAATCTATTTTCTTCTTTGAGGAAGTCACTCAGTTAAATTGTTCTACTGGTTTTGTTCTCTTCCTGTGGATTTTGTGGCTTAGCCATTTTATAATAATTTCTTCTTCTTTCCTGCTTCAGGTAGTTGTACTGAGTTTCTTTTCAACGATAAATCCGTCAGCCGATCTGCTTACATATCTGAGCTTGAAAAAATAGGCATCCTTGTCAAAGCTAGGAATTTTCTTATTTTTCAGGTGAGCATTTAAGGTACTTCATAAGGAAAGAAAGAGCCTCTGAGAATATTTCATAGGTGTACACAGTTACCTATTTGGCAGAAAAAGAGGGCACCCTTAGCTCCTTTCAAGCCAATATGTTTTTTCCTGACCTCAGCCAAGAATTGCAGGACTGCAAAATGGAAATAATGCATTTTGTGTGTACATGAGTGCGCTAGTAAGAAAGAAACTAATCTGGAAGAAACTGAGTACTTGTGCTATTCAGAGTATATAAGACACTGTGAGTCTCTCTTTATAAATGTTTAGTGTGTTAAATTTTAGGAATGTGATTGGAAAGGATAATTTCATTTGGTTCCTTTGAAGAGGCTAACGAGACTTAATTTTGTCCTCCTGATACCGCTGACTGATTTGTGCAGGTTGATTTAGTTTGAAGGTGCTCTTCCTAGAGCTTATCTACCTTCTAAAATTTTTAGTGATGTCATTTAATTAGATGAGGCGGCTAAGTAATAGTTTTTTTGGTACTAAACTTTTTATTGGCTTTGAATCTAAAAGTATTTCCACCCAATTCTGTTAACCATATATATCTGGAAATAAATCTGTACTATATGATTCTAGAGAAGAAATTAATCATTAGAGAATGTAATGGTCTGCAGTACTGTATTTTTTTTTTTCAATTTTGTTTTAGGGCACGGTAGAATCGATTGCAATGAAGAAGCCAAAGGAGAGAACTCAACTTTTTGAACGGATCAGTAATTCATGGGAATATGCTGAAGACTATGCACAAAAAAAGAAAAAAATGCAGCAAGCAGAAGCAGATGCTCAGTTTAATTACAACAAGAAAAAAAGTGTTGCAGCAGAACGTAAACAAGCAAAGACAGAGAAAGAGGAGGTAACTCTAAGTTCCTTTTTTTCCATGTTGATATTTCAGATTTTGCATATTTTATGAACTTACATAAAGGTTTTCTTAAAAAAAAAAACAACCACAAAAAACAAACCAACCAGCTTCTGTTGTTTTTCATTTAGTGTGTTTTTCAGTATGGTATAATATAAAGGATAAAGGAATACATGTAATCAAATCTAAATAAATGGAAGTGTAGATTTGCCAGTATAATTACTACATGTAATCAAATCTAAATAAATGGAAGTCTAGATTTGCCAGTATAATTAAAGTGTTAATATGTTTAAGTTTTATGATTAGTCTACATTACTGGAATTAAAGCTACTGCTACATCATCTTAGATAAGTTTGGACTTGAAGTTAGACTGCTAGTGATTAAAACCCGTTTTTATAAACCACAAGTAAAATGTTCATGTTGGTAGGCAGACCATTACCAGATGCTTCTCAAGGACCTGGATGAAGAAAGGATACAGCTGAAGCTTTTCCGGCTTTATCACAATGAGAAAAACATTGACTTCCTGAAAAAAAGTTTGGATAAAAAGAATATGGAGGCTAGTGTCAAGAAAGAGTCTCTTTCGACAGCAGAAGATGCATTTAGAGCCAAGAAGAAAGTGCTTGGTGTGCTGAACAGAGACCAACAGCACAGGGAAAAAGAAGTGAGGTAGGTTTTCTAATCAGATTCTCTGAAGTTTGGGTTAAAGCACCGTCTGCACTGGGGATGACTTGGCAGGCAAGCATCTCCTCATGAAGCAGCTGGGTGATACCCCAATGCTATGGAAGTCAGTTTGTAGCAATTTGCTACAGTAATTTCTAGAAATGGATTTCACCTCCAACACCGTGCCTAAGTTGTCAGTCATTTAGTTACATAAATACTCGTTTTCTATCAAATTTGAGATTCTCTGAAGTTTGGGTTAAAGCACCGTCTGCACTGGGGATGACTTGGCAGGCAAGCATTTCCTCAGGAAGCAGCTGGGTGACATCCCAATGCTATGGAAGTCAGTTTGTAGCAATTTGCTAAAGTAATATCTAGAAATGGATTTCACCTCCAACACCATGCCTAAGTTGTCA